ACATTATACTTAAACATGAAAATATTGAGAACATTTAAGAACTTAAAATTCCCTGTTATTAATAAAATCTCATGAATTTATCCATACGTTGTGATGACTTTAATAATATATGTAAATAATAATATATAATATGGAAATCTTTCCAAAGAGGCGAAAATTCATAAGCATTGTATAATACATTAAATTATTCTCAAAAAGAATTTCTTCATACACACAGTAGAGTTTCTTAATTTTTAAATCCACCCATCAATTATCATAAAGAGGAAGAAAACAACTTGCACTGAAAATTTAATATCAGGAATTACAGTGTGACCGCAACGAGGAAGATGGATTTATCTACTAGATAAAAAAAACGAAATATTGCTCCAATAACAAATAATTGGATTGAAAGTAAAAGTTCAGTAAAAAAAAAAAAAAAAAAAAAATGAAAAGCAGTAAAAGGTGAGAGGAAAATTTTTTCCTTCGCTAAAAAAAATTTTCTTTACGAAGATACGAAGGAATTTCTGACCAGTGATTTTCCTGATGGAGAATTTTGAAGTTTAAATTCCAACCAGTAGGAATTTCGGACAATATTCATTCGAAGAGAAGTGAAGTAAAATACGTGCAAAAACTAATTGCCTATTAAATTCTTGGAGTTAAAAAGAATTTCCTTTCTTTTCCCGACAGCAAATGAAGGACAGACAATAACTCATGTGCTGTGTCAACCGGGGAAAGTCAGGAGTTCGCTGATGACCCGGCTGTTAGTACTTATGTACCAACGCATCCAATATAGTTAGAGTCACTCGACAGTTAACGAGGTTTATTGCATCGCGAATACCATTCGCAATGCCGATTTCTATCCGGGCCACAAGTTCTCCTTTTGTAGATTTTCAATTGGCTCGTGTCAAGAATAATTTTTTAAACTCACTTTAAAAACTCTTATTGAAATTCCATGCGGACTCGCACTTTTGTCCATCGTCGAATTTCTCTCTTTTCAATCCATTTCAATCCATTTCTCTTTTCTCTTTTCACTATAGAAACAAAACGGGAATATAACTCTATATAAGTATATATTGAGAAAATCATTTGCCATTATTAACCAGTTCGTCATCAAATTGAAAGTCAGTCACATTCTGAGTGTGTGTGACTCAATTTATCGAGATGTTTTGCCACCAACGTCGTTCACCGTTATTTTATATTTTTACATTACTTCCATGAGTTTAAAGTGAATCCTATGTAAACACGCGATATCTTGAAAGAATGCTGACGATCCGCTATGCTCCTTCCATGAAACGTACTTCATAAAACTTGAGTACTATGGCAGACAAAAAAAGAAAGATGAAAAGAAGAGACAAAAAGTGTCTTTTTCCAAGTTCACATCCTGCAACAAAGTTTCGGAACATTGCATACATTTTCAACATTCGAAAAAATATACCAAACAATCATGGTTTCAAATTACCATTGTTTGAAATTATCATTATTTTAAATCACCACAAAATTGAATTGATTAAAATTAATTGGGAAAGAAATAGAACAGTTTTCTTTTATGAGAAAAGAAAAAAAGAATTGACGAAATATTCGATAAGTAATTAAAAGTAGAAATATAGACAAAGAATCATCTATTTTCTCCAAATCTTTTTTTTTATCTATTTTTTTCGATTAAGTATATATTAGATAATTAAGATAATTAATCAATGGGACGATTTTAAAGAACGCATTTAAAGTGAAAGTAATGATTCTTTAATTTGATGGCCAAGTTGAAGTGAAAGCTGATATGGAGTCGAATTTTAAACTTCAAAAAAAATCAGACTTTCAAAATAAAGACCGTGAATAGCAAACTGATTCTCATAAAACAGGGTCGCCGCACAAAAATTTGATTTCGTTCGGATTCTATTTTATTATTAAAGAAATTCTGATTCCTTTCGATTTCGAGAAAATTTCTTCGAGAAATTTTTAACAACTGAATTTTATTAAAATTTTTAAAAACTCTAAATTAAATTCTTTTGAAGAATTTCTTTGAATTTTTTTAAAGTAATAGAGTTTTTTTTTAATAATTTTAATTGAAAATTTTGAAGGCAATTGAATTTTATAAAAAAGAATTATATTAAAATTGTATTGAAAATAATTGAATTCCTGAGAAGAATTTTATTATTTCTAAAAATAATATTCAATTGTTACGAAGAATTTATTAAAATTTTATAAAATAAAATAAAGAATTTTATGTGAATATTTGAAATTAAATTCATTCGAGGAATTCTATTAAAACTGTTTTGGAAAGAATTGAATTTATGCAAAGAATTTTACTATTTATAATAATAGAAATATTTCGAAGAATTTATTGAAATTTTAGGAAATAGGTAATTGAATTGTTTTGAAGAATTTTATAGAAATATTTGAAAATAATTAAATTCTTTCGAGAAATTCAATTGAAGTTGTTTCGAAAATAATTGAATTCCTTCAAGTTTTGACGAATATATTTAAAAATTGCATTGAAAGTAATTTAATTTTCATATAGAATTTTTGAAAATATTTTGAGAATAATTGAATTATTTTTAGAGAATTTAAAATTTTTGTTGAAATTGAATTTTATGGAAATTTTTGAAAATAATTAAATTCTTTCGTGTTATTTTATTTAAATTGGATTAAAAATAATTTAATTCCTGCAAAGAATTTTAGTATTTATAAAAATAGTTTAATTGTTTCGAAGAATTTATTAAAATTTTAGGAAATAATCGAATTTTATGGGAATATTTGAATTCTGACGAAGAATGCAAAAAAAATTGTTTTGTAAATAATTGAATTCTTTTCTAAAAATTGAATTTTTCTGAGTAATTTAATTAAAATTGTTTTGAAAAAAAATTGAATTCCTGCAAAGAGTTTTATTATTCATAATAATAATTGAAATGTTTCGAAGAATTTATTTAAGTTTACGGAAATAATTGAATTATTTTGAAGAGTTTTATAGAAATATTTGAAAATAATTAAATTCTTTCGACAAATTCAATTAAAGTTATTCAGAAAATAATTGAATTTCTGTAAAGAATTTTATTAAAATTAAGCATATTTAAAATAATTGTATTAAACAGAAGAAGAATTTTATTATTTTTTGAAAATAATAATTGAATTCTTTTAATATTTTGACGAATATATTTAAAAATTGCATTGAAAGTAATTTAATTTTCATATAGAATTTTTAAAAAATATTTTGAGAATATTTGAATTATTTTGAGAGAATTTCGATTTCGGGAAAACTTCTTCGAGAAACTTTTGACAACTTAGCTAATTTTAGGGAAAAATATTCTTCTAATTTGTGAATATTAAAAGTGTAAAATTATTCGAAACATAATATTTTTGTTTGGATAAATATTCAATCATTATTATTATTTTTCCATGGGAATTAAGATTTTCAAAAACTTCCAATTTCCAAACATTTTGAAATTGAATAAATAATTTTATAAGAATAAAAATACTGTAAATTCTCCAAAATTCTTTTAATTCAATTTAATTATTTTCTACAATTTTTAACTGAACTTTTTTTCTAAATCAATTATTTTTAACAATTTTTGAAAAAATTCTTCGAGAATTCAATTCTTCAAACAGAAAAAAAGAAAATTCATTCACCTGAAAAAATTCTAAAAAAATTCTTATATCCATTTGTTTACAATTCGATTTTACGAAATTTCGATAATTTGAAAATTTTACAATTAAACATATATTCAAAAATTCAATTAATTTCAAAAAAATTTTTTTTGTTTTTTAAAAACTACTTAACTTTTTCAGAATTTTGAACTAAAATTATTTAAAGTTAAAATTTCTTCTAAAATAAAATTATTTTCTAGAATTCTTAACTGAAATTCTTCTCAAAATCAATTTTTTTTAACAATTTTAAGAAAAGTCTTTAAAAATTCAATTATTAAAAAACAAAAATAGAATTCACTTAAATACAATTTTAAATTCAATTCTTTTTTCAATTATATTTTCCGAAATTTTGATTATTTAGAAATATTATTAAAAAATTTCAATTATATATTCAAAAATTAAACTAATTTCAAAGAAATTTCAATTAAAATTATTCGAAAAAATAATTTCTTCAGAATGTTGAATCAAAATTATTAACTGATAAAATTTTCTAAAATTTCAATTTAAAATCTTTTGAAATTCAATTATTTGCAAAAATTGTAACCCCAAATCTTATAAAATTCAATTATTTTCGTTATTTTTAAGAAAAATTATTAATTAAATAATTTTAAAAAATTGAATTCAGATCTTGAAAGAGTTACAGTTGCAAGTGCAACTGTAACTCTTTCAAGATTTGAATTCAATTATTTTCTAGAATTTTGAAGTTAAATTTTTTTTAAAATAATTATAATTTTTAATCGTTCTTCAAGAAAATTTTTTCAGAATTCAATTATTATTTCTATTTTCACCAATTTCTATTCGATGAAATTATTTGAAACCGTTTTTTTCGAAATTACATCTTATCAATCTCAAAGAAAAAAAAACTCAAACTAAATGAACGATTACTTTAAAAATATCCGTCTTTAATTTTATTTTAGAATAAAACTGCTGACGCCATATCAGACTAATATTAGAAGAAATAAACTTTGATAAAATTCAAAGTGAAATTACCAGTTTCTAAAAGGATTTAAATTTCAGTCGACTAAAAAGAAAAGAGAAAATAAGAAGCAAAATACTAAAAAAAATTCAAAGACACTATCGAAAACATGCCTAAAGAACAAAGAAATGAAAAAAAGAGATAAATAAGGAGAATCACCACAGAGTAAAATCTACGAAAATTTTTGCCAAAATTCTTTCGAGGATTTAATATCAATTTCACACGTTTATTATTGGCTATAAATTTGATACCTAATTTCTTGTTTACGTCGAAAAAATTATTTTCCTTTTTATTTCGTGTGTATAGAAAAAAGAATGTATTGTTGTCAAACGGCATATTTTTTTTAATTCAAAAAATCATTCGTTTATTTTCGAGCCGGATTTAAAAAAAAAAGTATTGTACTCACCTGCAAAGTAACCTTGAAAGGTTCTTGAAGTCGTTCGCGTTCCAAGAGATAATCTATGGCACTTGGCATGGCATCAACTCCTTTTGCTTCCCTCGCCCCCAAATACCATACGTAATACGAGCTTTTCTTGACATCTTTACTTCCTCTCAGACGTAGCGCCATCACTCACTGAAAAATTTAAATTATTAGTATTTCGCCAATTGTACTTCGAAAAAAGGCTCGCAAAATTTTCAAACAGTGCAATAAATTTTTAGCAAATATGAAATAAAAGAAAAAGAAAGGAAGAGAAAAGACAAGAGAAGAAAGGAAACGAAAAGAAAAAAGGAAAAAAAGAAAAAATAAAACAAAAGGGAAAGAAAATAAAAACAAAAAGAAAAAAAATAAAACAAAAGGAAGAGAAAATAAAAAGAACGAAAGGAAAAATAATATTCTATTTTTACAATGTTAAAATTTGCTCTGTAATTTTTTTTCAACTCTGTTAATTTAACTCTGCAAATTTGTAAAATCTTAAAAATCTGATAAGGAATTTTTTTCCTCATTCAACGTTGCAAATTATTGCGAAAAAAAATTCTTCGGTAATTTTTTTTCCCCGCAAATCTTTCATTTCGAAACGTTTCTAATTTTAAAGTTTTTCATCGAGTATATCGAGTATAGTATAGCTAAAAAAGAAGCAAGAATAATATTTTCCTCAAAGTTCTTATCTGCACTTCAATAAATTAATTTGTCTAACATTTTACCATAAGTCGACAGCCGACATATGTACAACGAATAAATGATCTTCAAAATGAAATTTATTGTCCACTAACGGAATAATAATTACTCGAACACCTGCTTCATGAGCAACGCAATGCCCGTCCTTAATCCACTCTATACGACTACGAATTCTTAAGGAGAAAACCTCGAAAAACTTCTTATGGCAAGAGAGAGAGAATAATACAAACAGAATATTTTATCGGTCAAAGAAAATCCATTTGCAAAAAGAAATATCTCGAATCTGTAACTAAAATTTAACTATCTGTAAAAATTTAATTATCTGTAAATAATAATTCTGTAACTGAAAAATAAACTAAAAACTAAAAAATAATCCAAATTGTAACTACAAAAATCGAATAATTAATTTTCCAGATTCATCATGGATGAAAAATTACTGACGTCGAAAGTCATTGAAAAAGAAGAAGACGAAGAAAAGAATTTCGGAAAAAAATCACATGTACGTGAAAAGAAAGCAAAGGCGAAAGCAAAATATTCTACGTCTAAAGATTTCGAACAACGAGAAAAGTATAATATATAGAAAGGAAAATAAAAATAATAATAGGTAAAAAGATGATAAAAATGGAGCATGAAAGAATAATAAAATTTCTCGCGAGCACAACTTCCGAAACATTTATCTCAATCAATATTTTTTTTTTTTTTCACGAAAGAGAATAACGGACGACTTTTTTATTATTTATTTCAGTGGGTATCTTGAGCTCAGGACAAGGAGAGAACTCTCGAAGCACCATCAGGCTCGATTACTTTCACGCTTAAACCCGTTTCCACGTTGTCCATCTCCGTTCTCAAGTCTGATCCGCTGGAGCTCCAGAGAGGAGATATACCGCGGCGCATATACACAACACACCGTGGAGAACGAAAATCTTCTAGAAACAACCTAACAGGATTGTCAAAATAGGAGGAGATGAAAATGATGATGATGATGATTGTTTTCTCGATAAACAATTTTTGCAAGAAAAATCGGAAGCTCCGCTCACAAATATTCCACTTCATTTATTGGCGATCATAAAAAGAAATTATTTCCACTTTGAGGGAAAAGCAAAAATTGATGAAGAGAAACAATTGCTTTTCGTAAGTCTTTCTGCAAAAAAAAGGAGAAGAAAATTAAAAACAAGAAAATAGTTCAATTTTTGAGAATTAATCAAAACATAAAAATCAGATCAATTGGAATTTCTATTTTGAAAATTGTATCGATGCGAAAGGATTAAAAAATAATTATACGAAATTGTAAATTACGAGAAATGGAAAAATTTCCTATTTTTAAATCAATAAGAAATTTTATTTTGAAAATTGTATCGATGTGAAAGGATTAAAAATTAATAACGAAACTGTAAATTATGGGAAAAATTTCCCATTTTTTGAAAATAAAGAATTGAAGGAATTACTTTTTCAAAAAATGGTGAAATTCAGTTTTCGAAAATTAATTATTGAAAACTAAAAATTTGAAAGATCTGAAACGAGAAAATTAACACACTTTTCAGAAACCAATTTTCTGATTGATAATAGTAATAAATAACAATTAAATTAGAAACTTTTATTTTGTCGAATATTTAATTTAAAATTCAACAATTTTAATTAAAATTTTTGCTCAATGAAAATTTGAATTATTTTACTCAATTTATTGTCGATAAAAAAAATAATTATTTCCACTTATTCAGAGAAAAGCAAAATTGATTTAAGAAAACAATAAATTTTTAGTTACAGAAAAAAGAGAATAAAAAAATAAATATAAAATAAAAACAATAAAAGACAGTTGGTTTAAAATTATATAAAATTTCCAAAAACTTAAATTTGAAAATTAATCAAAAAATAATTAAACCAATAAGAATTTCTATTTCGAAAATTATACCACTTGAAGAGCATTAAAAATTGATTACAAAATTGTAAATTACGAAAAAGAGAATAATCTCAAATTTTTTTGGAAAAAAGAGAATTTAAAAAATTACATTTTCAAAAAATGGTGAAATTCAGTTTCAAAAGATCTAAAACGAGAAAATTTGTGCGCCAAATAATTTTTATAATTAACATACTTTCATTAATACACTTCACAGAAACTAACTTTCTGCTTTAAAATAATAATTGATAACAATTAAATCAGAATAAAAAGTTTCTTTTCACCAAAAGAATAAACTATATCGCCATAAATATCAATACAAAAAATGCTGAATAAGTGAAAGTAAAGACTAGATATGAATTTTTTGAGGTACAAAATTTTTAGATCATCCAATTTCACTTTTCATTAATTAACTTTGATTGATTTGATCTTTTTTTTTTTAAATGTCAGGCAATCTTTCTCGCTCGAAAATTTTAAAAAGACATAATGTGTGCTCCCAATTATGAATCTTTCATCATTGGATCATTAAACTGTAATTACTGAACTCGATTATATAATTTCGATTATATTCGAAAATATTATTTCGAATCTATTTGAAAATCGGTTTTTAACAATTTATAATAATAATTATAACAATAATAATAATAATATTCTAATATTTTATTTAAATTAATAATAATAATTATTATTATTAATATTATTATTTTAATTATTTGGGTAAATTTGAAAAGAGAAAATTTTATTGTACTGAATCAAAATTCCTCTTTGATTGAAAATATTTGCAAAAAGCAAAATTGTTGCGGATGTAAATATTCTAATTCAAAGCTATTAGAACATTTGATCTTGAATCTTTTAAACGAAACAAGTTACACAAGATTATAGACTTGATACTGATACTACAGACGTGAGATTCTGACTTCCTGACCTACTTTATACAATTAGACAAAAATTGTGTTGAAATATTTGGATAATTTGAGAAAATAGATACACAAAAAGAAAAATAGATACAATCTCAATTTTTTATTATCGCTTGTAAAATTGTATTTTTTTCTCTCAACCAAGAAAATAAAAAATTCATTTTATCTCCAAAAATAATCTCAATATCATGGGAATGATTTAGAATTAGAATATATATTACATAAAAAAAATTATAAGATTCAAATTAGAATTCATTAATACATTTTTTATTACCTTGTAAATTAAGCTTTATAAGGTGTCCTTGAAAATTATGTATCCAACGCAAAATTAATAAACATACAAACAATTCTCATCAAACAAAATTTCCAAAATTCACTAATTTACAATTAAACGGAAAAAAATTTGCAAAAATTCACTAAAAAAACAATTCTCATCGACGACAACTAAACAAAAAAAAAGAATTCAATAAAAAACAATTTTCATCAAAGACAATTAAACGAAAAAAAATTCACTAAAAAATAATTTTCGTCAACGACAATGAGACGAAAAAAACAAAATTCAATAAAAAACAAATATCGTCAACCACAATTAAATGGAAAAAATTAACAAATTTTCAAAAATTCACTAATTCACAATTAAATGAAAAAAAACAAAATTCAAATAAAAAACAAATCTCATGAGCCACAATTAAATGGAAAATTTTTTTTTCAAAATTCGCTAATTCACAATTAAACGGATAAAAATTTTCCAAAATTCATTAAAAAAACAATTTTTACCAAAGACAATAAAACGAAAAAAACTAAAATCGAATAAAAAAATCCCCATCCATGACAATGAAGCGAAAAAGAAACAGAATTCAATAAAAAAAAACAATTCTAATCAACGACAATTAAATGAAAAGAAATCAAAATTCACTAAAAAATAATTTTCATCAACGACAATGAGACGAAAAAAAACAAAATTCAATAAAAAACAAATATCGTCAACTACAATAATGAAACAGAAATAAATTTTCCAAAATTCACCAATTCACAATTAAACGAAAAAAACAAAATTCAGATAAAAAACAATTCTCATGAACCACAATTAAATGAAAATTTTTTTTACAAAAATTCGCTAATTTACAATTAAAAGAAAAAAATTTTCCAAAGTTCACTAAAAACAATTCTTATCAACCACAATTAAACAGAAACAAATTTTCCAAAATTCACAATGAAATGAAAATAAAAATTTCCAAACTTCAATAAAAAGTCTTTTTTGTTAAACAAAATTTTTTTTAATTCAAAAACAAATTCTCACATTTTGTAAAAGACTGTTGTAAATTTTTAGTGGCTAATTTTAGCTAGAAAGTCGTAAAATAAGTGTGATAAAAATACAGAATATATGGTGAATAGCAAAGAAATTCCAAACTTTATTTCCAATTCTCAGTTACTAAAATACCAATAAACTTTCTTTTTCTCTTTTTTTTTTTTTTTTTGCTTAAAAAAGAAACAAGACAAATTCTTGAAAAAGTTCTGATGCAAAACTATTTGTCGCGAAAGGTAAACTATACAAAACCCACTTTGCGTAATAAATTATTAGTTAATTCTTTTAGTCCGTTATCAATGTTATTTAACGACTCAAATGATTTACAATCGATGTTAAA